GCAGTATTACCGCAGGTACGTTATGAACATCTGCATCTATTTAAATTATATTTTTATATTTTTAGCACCAGTTGAGCAAATTGCTGAATCTTCCGAGAACCTTGATCATATTTCTGAATCTTGTACTATTGAAATTCAAACAAAATGATTTTTTCAAAATTATATACATTCCAAATAGAACTTTTTTAGAATGTGCACTACAAGAACAAATATTTGCAAAAACACTGTATATATACAAAAAAAAAATTCATTTGATTAAAATTAGATTTACTCACCTATTTCATTTGAAATTCATATGACTAATGAAAGATTTTAAATTAATAAACAAATTAAAAAATTAATATGTATATAAATTTGGAAAAATAAAGTTCTTTTTCAGTTATTTCTGAATGACTTTGATAGTTTATTAAACCCGGAAGGATAATTTTTTTTTAAGATATTTACAAATTAAGAATATCGGGACCTTGATAATATTTATACTAAATATTAGAATTCACATACAATCACATTAAATTTTTATAATTTTATGACAAAAAAAAACACAAAATAGTAAAATAAATGTCAACGACAAAATTTGAACATACGAGTATATTTAGAATTACGTCAAATTTTCAAGATCTCATAATATTCTGCTTTTCTTTTAATTCAAAAGTTTGGTTTTGAGTTAAAACGATGAGTGTTAGGCATGTTTTTCTTATTGTTTTTTTTTATTGATTATGCAAAAAAAAAATAATTTTGAATTTAAAGAACATGAGTAAATTTTGATTTAGTTTATTTTTGTTTTTCTCGTTATAAAGAATACATTTCATATTTAACAAGTTTTTGGCATGCAAAAATCATCTGTATAACCAACATGCATGAGTTCATTTTAACTTAAAGAAAAAAAAATTATATAAGAAAAACATAATATTTGTCAGAAAAACGCGGAATTCCGGCATATATTCTAATACTTTGTTTTATTTTCTTACTTTATTTTTTTTTATATAATTTTTGTTTATTTTTCTTAGTATATACTTATGACATTTTAACATTAATAACCGTGCCTCTTGAAATTTGACAATAACTAGTTTAAAATGTATGCATACTTTTATAAAGTTTAAACATACTAGAATCAAGTTTTGTTTTTTTTATTTTTTTTTTGTTTAATTAATAATTACATTTAAATATTATGCAATATTTCATAATGAAAAAATTAAAAAACGAAGACGCAAATTATAAACGAACATGTGATGAATAATAACTTTTGGAAAAATACGTGTAAGTTACGTACTGAAAATATATAGTTGAACCATTCAACTCTATGGTTTTTGTTTACGAAAAAATAATATAAAAAAAAATAATTAAATATTGTTATGCATACAAATATTATTTCAATTTAATATTGAATTATAATTATAAAATAGAAGTGAGCTTATACGCTTTACATATAAAAATAATTTTTTAACTACGGTTTATTATATTGGTAGTGCTACGGTAATAGAACGCGTTACTCGGTATTCGGTATTTGATTGTCAAAAAAATTTTTTTTGCTTGTTCTATATATTCAAAATGTTATTTTAATGGATATACCACAAAGCTGCAACTTATTAACCACACTGGATCGAATTTCCAATTCTACTTTAGAAAAAAATTAATATTTATTGTTTCGAAGGATTTTATATAACGTCAATCATATTTTTTTTAGTAATAAAATCTATAATACCTCGTGCAATATATTTACGGTACATAACGCAACCGTAGTGTGGTAAATTTTTTTATCACATATACTGTGCCCAATTAAGTTAAGTAATTGGTTTAGTCGAATTAAGATATGTATAACTGAAAGAGATAATTTGTTAAACGACCCGGTAAATTAAATTTTGCGTTCTATTTTTGACTTTTAAGACAAATTTTTTTATATTTTGAATGACTGTGAAATTATCGATTCGTGTGTTAGTTATAAATAACGTCTTGATCTTAATTTCATAAAAACATAAATTTATTATCGTAAACATACATATGTATATAATCTTTTCATAAGCGCAATATTTCGATATTTTTTTCAAAAAAACATTATTAACGAAATATTAAAATATCTTCAAATTTTCTTTATCATTTTCAATTTATGTGTATCAATAGCAAATATTATTTTCTTAAGAATATTACAATTTATAATTAATGTTATTCACACACAAGTTATATAATTTTTTTGTTTTTATTTTAATATTATAATTTAATCAGTTCGCTAGAATTGTTAGAATTCATCTACATTGTGTTTGTTTTTTTGCAAAAAAAAATTATTTAAATTAAACAAGTAAAATATTTGTTTATAATCAAACATTTTTATTATTCACAAAACTGAACATAAAATCATCATTAATTTAAAAAATAAAATAAATAATTTTATTACCATACAATATGTTTGAAATAAAGAGTTTTTCTTGTATAGTTTTTGTGGTAATTTTTCAAAATTTTTGATTTTTAATTTTTTCTTTTTTGTATTTTTTTGATATAATTAAATGATAAAAAACATTAAAATGTAAATTAAAATAAAAAATAGAATAAAATATTAATAAAATGTAAGAGAAAAAAAATTATAGGCGCCAAAATAAAGGGGTTCAACTGGTTAGAAAAAAAAAAACAAACAAACCAACAACAAAAAACAAAATTACATTAGAAAAACAAATGTAAAAAAACAGACTAGAAAATTTTTTTGTATTTTTGATAAATAGGCAAAAAACAAAATAAATACGTAAATGTGTGCCAGTAGAACACGTCAGTCATGTCATTATTATGTCATGTTGTTATTGTTAAAAAGGTTAATAACTTTTATTGGATTTTTATTTTTTTTTTGATTTTTTGCAGTTTTTTTTAGTACAATTTCTCCTTGAAATTCCAATTGGATGTACAATAATAATATTATGTGCGTCGTAACGTAGCACATATGTACATATATAAATAAAATTATTTAAGAGGCATATTGGAATTAAATTAAAAATTTAGTTATAGTAACTTTATACATACATATGTACATACATATGTACATACGATAATAGTTGATACATCAGGAAATTATTTCAAAAAATTTTAATATACAAGATTATTATTTTTTTTTATGATATCTATTATCATTTTTAAAATATATATTATTATTAGATATATTTATATATTAATTTACGTATATATGAGAAACGGGTAATATGGGTAGCCTAATAATATTATCATTGTATTTATATAGTATAATTATACAAGTATATATATATATGTATATGTGTATATTCATGATAGAATGATTATACTAGAATAACAATAATAATAATAAAATAGAAAAAAAAAATATAGAAAATTGGGTCATGAGTTCATTATAGTTGGAAATAGGTTATGACCTTCAATTTATATATATACATATACATATTCAAGTATATTTATTATAAAAACAAATAAAACCAATACAATAATAAAAATGTTTTTTTTTTTTTACTTATTTAATTATATAAAATTAATAGTAATATATTAAGTATTAAATATTTTTTGTGTATATTTAAAGAAATATAATAAAATATAAAAAATAATAACAATAATAATAATTTATAATAAAAATATAATTATAGAATTTTTTGTTTTTTTTCCTTTTTTTTTTAGATTTAACAAATAAATCAAATTAAAATTGATTTCTTAAGAATTAATATTTTTTAATAATTAAAGAAATAATAAAATTAATATATAAAATATATACATATATGTGTACATATATATATATATTATATATGTATATATATGTATATATATGTATATATATATATATATATATATAGGTACCATAGAATAATATTATTTATGTATTTAATTTACTGTGTGAAGGTTAAATTTTTTTTTTTAAATTTTCAAAATAATTTAAAAATTTTGTCTTTATTTATTTACAAATTCTAGACAAAAATTTATTTGTACATATTGTATAAGGAAGAGTTTTTTTTAACTTTAATATAATTATTAAAATTAATTTTTGTTTGTTGTGTCATAATTTATAGTATATACATGTATGTATGTATAAATACGTAATATAATGACATTTAAAATAGAAGGTTAGGTTCTTTTAGAAAGGTAGTTATATAAATTTTAATATTATTGATTAGAATGGACACATATTGTTTTTTTTTTTTGTTGTTTCGTTTTTATTATTGTTATATTCAATTCCATTTTATAGATATACATATGTATAAAAAAGTATTTCTATATATTAAAATTTTTCAAGGGCATAAAAATATAATCATCATAAGTTACTATATCCCACAATTATAAATTATAATTTATTTCAAACTTGTTTTTAAAATTACTGATCCTGAAATAATTAATTAATTATATACCATATGTACGAGTATATTGTCAAGTAAAATTAATTGATTTCGAAAAATTGTAAAATATATAATATTATTTTTGTTGGAAAAATGTATTTAAAATGCGCTTTTAAATTAATTACATATATATATATATATAGGAGAAAAATATATAATTTTATTATATATATAATAAAAATATAATAGGAAATAATATATATAGGAGGAAAATAGATGCAACAAATTAATTAAATTGAATAACAAATTAAAATTGAAGTACATATTATTTTTGTTATACTTGTATATAGTCGTAATGGTATATGTATATGTACATACTTTATGTCATATAATAGTAGGTACATTTTGTGAATATGTTATTTATTTTACACAATTATTAGAATTTGAAAAATTCCATTTTGGAAAATTTATATAAATTTATATTTTAATTTTGCGTTTAATTTAATGTAATTATTTATTTTATAAATTGTAGGAATTATAACCTGTACCCTATCATCTGTCATTTTTTCTGTTAAATTATTGAAGAACATGATTGGTATATTAAAGAATGAAATTACACTAAACTTTAATATAGAATTGGAAATATTTTTATTTTTCACCTTGCTTTTCAAATTCTAAAAATTGAAGATTTTTTTTTTTAAAAAATATTTAATTTTTTTCTTGTTTTCTATCATTCAGCCTTATGATTTGTCAGAAATATATCTTTTTATACATACATATATAAAGTTTCATAATTGACTTAATGAGAATAAAAAAATTTAATTCGGAAAACTAAAAAAAAAACACTTTTAAATATTATATTTTAATTATATTATTTTGCATTACCCTTGTTACTGTTATACAGCAAATTGCATATAAACATATACATACGTTATATAATGTTAATATATATAAAATTCTAATTAGATTTACTATTATTGTTATACAAAACACGTGTTACCTTATTTGAACACATTTCGCATTTGCGTATTCTCCTTGATTCACAATATGAATGATTTATATCCTTGTGTGTATGTATATTGCACCTAAATGACATTTTAGTAGTATTTTAATTGTAATAAACGTCAGAAATAAAATATTAAGGTTGAAATAAAAAAATTTTAAATTCAATTAAAAAAATTAAAAATAAAGTTTTAAGTGAGTTTATGTAGTTAAAAAATTTCTTGTAACATCTTTTGAAGTAAAAATATGAAATGTTTTTGAAAAGTTAGTGTTGTGCGGAAATTTTCTTTGTAGAGTGCATGAAATTCAATTATTTAAAGTAATTAAAGTAATAATAAAAAATTTTAAAAAATAAAATTTTCGATTATAATTATAGTAATTTCCTTGTGTTATTCTGATTTTAAAAGAATTTTAATGATTTAATTATGAAAATATGAAAAATCAATAATCCGAAATTTAAAATAAATTTAACCTCAATATAAAATACATACATATAGTTATATGGACATGTATTCGTAGATACATATATTATTATACACTTTTAATGGCATATAATATGTGTGTATACGACGACGCATACATATAAAATAAAGATTAATATTTGTGTATCTCTATAGTTTCCATGACAACTAATGTTCTTGAAACCATATATTTGCAAGGATATTGACATTTAACTTAATGTAAATTGTAAATTAATTTTTAAATGTACAAATATTTCTCAGATGGTCAGTAATTCTTATTATATTAATAAAAAAAAGTACATACATACATATGTAATATATGCAGTAAACTTTGTCTTGTTCCAGTTTGTAAGATTACAAAAGTTGTGAAAACCATTATGTAAAAGATAAAAGCAATATGTGTACTTGCATGCAACTTAATTAACTTGGATGATAAAAGAGAAACTAAAATGAAAACAATAGTGTATAATATGATCATATTAATAAAATTTATCAATTTTAAAATTGATTTTAATATGTACTTACCTTTTTGAATTATCTTATTTGACAATATATGTATGTATGTAGGTACCTTAGTTATTTAAAGAAGAAATATTTTACATTCTTTGTCATCAAATATATTTAATTATATAATAAAATATATAGTTACATTTTTATATGTATGTAGGTATATTTATGCAGCTACAACATTTTCTAAATAAGAATCATGAGTAATAATTTGAATAATTTTAGTATTTTTAAAACTGTTTAGCTAAACTACATTAACAATGTGACATTTTCACAATTGTTTATACTCCTTTGACGTTATTTCTTAATTTCTCATCACAATTTAAATGTCAATGAATAATAATGATAGAATGCCGGCTCTTTTAAAGACGCATTTCACTTAAAAATTAAATGTCACATTTTCCATTAGTCTGAAACTATATAAGAATAAGAAATACAAAAGAATAAATTAATAAAAAAAAAAATTAATATTTCGACGAATAAATGTGTATATAGGTATGTACATAAATATGTAATTTCAATTCAACCCTTTTCTGATTTGGAAAATTTTTTCATTTTTACTTACCATAACCACTTGTCTACTCTCCAATTTTCAAAAACTCTACTTGTAAAATATTGAAACAAAACAATTAACGAAAAATGTAAACAAAACGGAAAATAAAACAAAAAAAAAAGCTTGTCTTACTACAAAGCGACACAACACAGAACTTTTAAATTTTTCATTTCTTCAATTTTTTTTTTTATTTCTTTAATTTTTTTTTAATGTTTTGAATTTTATTCTTTTTTTTTTGTGATTTGTTTTCTTTATTTTCCTTTTTAATTTGATTGTAAGTTGTTGTTGTATTTTATTTTGGCTACATGCAAAAAGAAAAACAAATCAAAAAAGAAAAACTACCAATGTGTGTAATGCAAAAAAAATTAAAGAACATAAAAATGTAAAACATAAAAAACAAAAATAAAAAAATAAACAACAACTAAAGCGAAACAAACCTAGGTTTTAAATTTTTTTCTGTTTTTTTTTTTTTTATTAAAACTGGTTGAAAAAAATTTTATTACGTTTTTCTTTTTTAATATTTTTATATTGATTGTACATTGCTTACTTACTGTGATGACTGACTGACTGGGTTTTTATCATCTACTTATATTTTACTACTTGTATGCTTGCTGGTGCTGTTTTTGTTCGATCTAGCTGTTAGGTTTCAAACATAATAAAGCTACAATCATAAAATCTTTGCATACAGTCGAGAGCAGTCGTGTTTATCTCTTCGTATAATTAAAGAAAATAAATTAAAATAAAATTAATAAATTTTTTTTTTTTGAAAATTTTATTTATCATTTTGTATTTTCTTTTTTGAAGTGCGTTTAAAAAAAAAAAATTAATAAAAATTTATTTTTAAATTTAAAAATTCGAAAAAAATTAATGAATTTTTTTTTTTTATAATTATTTAAAATTAATATTTAGAAAAAAAATACTCAAATAAATTAAAAAAATTTTAACAAAATTTTTTAAAAATTTTTAAAAATTACGTTATAATTATTAAATAACGGTTAATAATTTAAAGTGAATGTAATTTTGTACGATAATAAAATTACGATAAAACTTGAGAATTTTTACAATATAAATTTTTTTCTGGTGAATAAGATATTCTTTGATTTTCTAAACTAATTTAATTATAATTAAAAATTATAAAAATATTAAATATTTAAAATAAATTGTGTATAATAATTACTTATATATTATGTAAATGTGTATATGCATATATGTATAATTGTAAAATTTTAAGTAAAAATTTACGATATACATATTTACATTTACATATATATGTATATTAAGTATTATAGAATTAAAATATTGCATTTTTAATAATTAAAAAATTTTTATGAAAAAAAAGTGATTTTATTTTTTTTCTAGATATTTTTTTTTTGTTTTCCTGCAATAATTTACAATAGTCAAGTTTTATAAAATTAAAAAATAAATTATATATTTTTTGTATATGTATATATGTGCGCTTATTCATAAATATAAATTAAGTAATAGTGATGTTGATTATGATGAAGATGATGAGGATGTTGGGATGCCGTTAAAGATTAATTTTATAAAAAAATTTTGTTTTTTTTTTTTTTTAGTTTGTATTTTGTAAAATTTTATTTTCATTATTATTTTTTTTTTTAATTTTAAAGGTTAAAACTTTTTTGTGCAAAGAGAAATTTCGAAAATAAATAAATATATAAATTCCAAATAAAAAAAAAAAAAAATTAAAAATAAAAAATACAATAACGAAACAAGTGATTTGTTGAATGTGTGTGTATACGTTAGATATTAAAGTTCACATCAAAATTTTTACTATAAATATTACACAATTTTTTTAAATTATAAAAAAAAAAAAATCAGAAAATTGTTATTATAAATTTTGATAATTTGTTTTTGTTACTCGTATATTCATTCCTCTATAGATAATATAGATTTTTAAATTAATTAACAATTTAATAATAATCAATAGCTAACATTTTGATATTTTAGTCATATTTCAATAATATTATTGCAAATTAAAAATAGTAAAGAAAATACCAAAATGGCACCAAATACACAACAACAACAATTAAATAATAATAATAACAATAATAATAATAATGATAATAATAACGATAATAATGTTATAAGTAATGGAACATTTACTCAACATTTATTAGAAGATGATAATAAAACAATATTTAATAATAATCAACAGAAGCAATCTAATGAGGAACAAGATTGGTTCGTTTCAATTATATATGCAATATTTGATGTTATATGGTTTATAATTGTATCAATCGGCTATATAATACAGGTAAGGGATGAGTTAATAATTAAGATTATCAAATTTTTATTTTTCTTATAGATTAGGGTTACATAAAATTTACTTGTATAATAAAAAAAATATATATTGATAAAAGACTGTGTATAACACTTATATGAGCAACTATCTATTATTTTTACAAATATACCACATTTAATTCGGCTCATTAAATGTTTAGTTATAATTTAAGTAAAAAAAAAAATATTATTAAAACTTACAAATTACAAAAAAAAATTATGATAAAAAATCATTAAAAAATAAAAATTGAGAAAAAATTATGATTGATTATGTCCAAATCATTAATTAGGTTTTTTTTTTTTTGTATTGTAAATTTTTATAGAGTTTCTTCATTTACAAATATATGCGTACATATATTATGTATTTGTATGTGTATAACAATAATTTTGTAATTTTTAATTGATATGCGTGTTTTAGAAAAGATGGTTTATTAATAACAATAATAATAAAAATGAAAACTAAAACCCGCTGAGTAAAGTACGTCTACATGATATGATTTTCAAAAAAAAAAATTATATTTTACTCTCTTGAAGATGATATATCTTCATATTTTATATTGATATCCAGTATTTTTTTCCCTATTTTCTCATACCATATAACACTATAGGTTAATTCAACCCATGACGAGTATTATAGTATACCTACATAGATAAGCAGTTTCCATGTGGATTGTAAGATTTTTTGTTTAATAATGTTTTTGTTTAATTTGAATCTGACTCCAAGTTTTTGAAATATTAATATTAAGTGTTATATTAAATATATATATATCAATATTATCTTATTATATCAGTAGTTAATTTATATTACTTATAACAAATTTTTGTAAGTTGGTGTATACGATTTTTAAAAAGTATTTTTCTTAAAAAACTCAAAAATATATCATATAAGTTTGAAAATAAAACAAAATTAATATTCATTTATGAATTGAATTCTCTTATAATTGGTAATAGGAATTAAAAAAACATAAGAGGAAATCAAATTTGAAAAAAAAATAATGCCGGTTGTATTTTTCCGCGATTTTTATATAAGACTTTTATTATCATCTTTCAATTTAACTTTTTTATTAAATGAAACTGAATTTAATTCTCTCTATTTCGAAATCACTAGACTAAAGGAACTATTAATTTTAAAACTATAAGTTTTGTATTAAATAAAAATGAATTGTTGCTAATTTAAAAAAAAAATTATAATTTCGTATTTTGGAATGAAAAAACATCAAAAATATCTAATTGAGTAAAATTAACTGTTATACATATACTAATTTTGCGTAATATTATTCAAATATTTTAAATTATTAAAAATGAATAGTTTGTAAAATTAAATACCTATATATTGTATTATAGTCAAAGATCAATATTATTTACTCAATTTATTTTTCTCAAAGAGTTCTTTTGTTTCTTTAAACCTTATTAAAGAATACAATTTTTAAGTATAATTATATATTTTGTAATATTTGCTAGGATATGTAATTAGATTATAAATATTAGCTAGAATTTAGAATTTTAACATTTTTAGTGCTTCAAAGTGTATACCTGCTACCGTTATTTAATAAATAAATAAATTTAAAATTCATGAAATCATGGAATCTTACACAATTATTCATTTGTTTTCTTTGTATAATTTTAAAATATTATATGTGCCTATGTATATTAAAAAATTTTTTAAATTTTGAGAGCACGAAAATCTATATGTATATACAATTTCAATAAATGTGTGCATTGGAATATTTAAGGTTCTCTAATATTTAAAATGTATGTATTTTACTTCTTTTTGCTCTTGATATACTTACGTAAAATTTATGCCAGAACAATGTTATACTGTCATAAAATGAGTATAAACAAATTTAAAGAGAGTTTATATATGAGTGAAAATTTAAATACCTAGATGATTTTTAATTGATAGAGAAATTTTTAATTTTCTATCACTTATCAATCATTGAGATAAAAATTAATTTTTTGAAGTTTTTATAAAAGAATGAAAAGTATTGTTATACACATAATATAGAGAAAATTAATAATTTCTCATTTCATTTATATATTAATATATGTACTATATATATACTTAATTATACATACTATAATTATGTAACTATAAATATATAATATAATATACTTCCGTAAAATTTACAATGATTTTATAATAAAGATAATTATTACAAAAAAAAAAAAAAATTACTTCTGAATGAGTTGAAGTAAAATTAAATTAAAGAAATCAATAATTATAGGAAATGAATGTAAATATGTACACATATATATATTATATATATACATATAATATATAAGGTATAGAGTGTACACCTGTTAAGTGAATTTATTATATTGAATAACTTATGAAAAGGCAATTATGTACTTGTATATGAAATTTATTTTAACCCTATTCTATGATTATTTATGCGGTATTATAACATCATGTTAAATTATTATTTTAAATATTAACAGTAATACACGATTGTTAAACTTTTATGTCACTTACAAATATTATATATTAGATATATATTAGGATTTTTAATTTTATTTTCAAAGTCAAAATGAATTTTATTAATAGTTACTAACAAGTTTTAAGTATATATATATATATATGTTATTTTCCAATTTAATTAATCTGCATTCAATACAAATGAATTAAAATAATTTAAGATTAAAATTCGTTTTTGGATTTATTTTAGTAATATATCATTTTATATAAGAAATTCACTAAAAATAATAATGACTTTGCGTATTTCAGCCATCACCTACACTATATTATGCAAATCATTATTTTATTAATCAGAAACTATACATATACGAGTATAGAAAGTAGAGTAAAAATTATTTAGCATATTCAAATTAAAAAAAAAAAACTCCTTATATGTTTGTGTTTCTTTACTGCAATCTGAAATTATTTGTCTATTTTCAAATTATTTTTATTATTTTTTCAATGTAGGCAACTCCATTTTGCACCATATTTGTACTTACAATCTACAGTTAAAATTGTAACAAAACAAAATTTTAATTTATTCAATTTAAAAATTTACTTAAATCTACTTAAATGAAAATTTAGTGAGTATATAAAATCATTTTTTTTTTTTTTTTTGGTTTTGAGTACATTGACAGCAATGATGTGTTAATTTGAATAAAATTTATTTGTAAAGTATACATACATACATTCATACATAAGTGTATGTAATTTAAAAATCACAGAATATTGTAAAATCATCATAAATAAAATTTAAAAAAAAAATTTTTTGATTATAATTGCAAAATTTATCACGTTTCATAATTAAGAATTAAAATAATTTTGCAAATATTTTCACTATACTTATACACATATACACAAATGATTAAAAGTACGTGTTGAATGAAAACTTAACGAAAAAAAACAACAACAAAAGTGAGAACGAACGAAAAAAAATTTAATTTAATTAATATGTAAATATTGTTTGTATGTGTTTTTGATGACATATTATAGGTACATACATTTTTGCGTAAATATTTTATTATATACGAGTATATACACATATGATATATATATACTTGAGCAGTAAAATGTAATAATTTAAAAAAAGAATGAATGAATTTTAACGAATTACTTCGAGTGAAATTTGAACTTTTGACAATAAATTTGACATTTGATGAATTCCTTTTACAATTATATAATATTCTAAAATACTCCTGAATAACATAATTTTGTTCTAAATAGTATCATTGAATACTTAGTTTTGTATATCACTATGATATAGAGTGGCGCTAGTGAGTAATAAGTTTTAATTTAAAAGAATTTCACTCGAAAAAAATAGTTCATTAGCGTATAATAAAAGAAATGGTGTTCTGTATATATCACTATAAAATATAAGTATACACAATGGTAGAATGGAAATTATATATTACCATAAAATTTACATACTACAAATTACATTGTTTGTAGAAAAGTACAAACAATGTTTCGTATACAAAAATTCTGTTATATTCACAGTAAGTTTGTTAGAAATATCGTATAAAGACAAAAGTTGGAGATAGTTTGAAGTGTTATACACAATATACGCGTTCATTAATTGTTAATTATTACTCAAATAATGTAAAACTAAATAAGTAGTTTTTGTTTGTCACCAAGAGCACTAATTTATAAAGTTTTCAATATATTTCTTATTCAACTTTTTGCACAACTACAACTAAATCGTGTACGTATATGTATGTATATGTGTATTAATTTAAATATTTTTTCATAACATTTTCATTGTATTTATTTATGACTTTTTTTTTTACAGTTTCTTTTTTTGCACTAAATTAAATTTAAATATTGCAAACTTTTGTTAAATATGATTTTAATGCAAAAAAAAAAATTTGAAAGAAAAAAACCCAAAATAAAAAATGAATTTTTTTTTAATTTTTAATTTCTGTTATACACACTTTTGATTTTGTTATAAATAGGGTGATGTCAGACAGATTAAATATTATATAATTTTTTTAATCAAAAAATTAACATTTAATTCCTGTTCTTTAAAATAATACAAGTACCGTTTAAATTTTTTTAAATTATAATTCTGAAAAAATCACAAATTTACACTTTATAATTATTATATAACAAGTAAGTACGAGTATAAATATTTAAATACATTTGTGTATATATGCATATTATTTCTACATGTACATATACTAATAGAAATTTAATTTGATTTTGCAAATATTTAATCAATTTTTGTTTACAGTTTCATGTATATGTGTATGTATGTTTGTAAACAAGCCTATATAAAATTTTAAAAATTTACAATTTTACATTTTTCTTTGGCTTCTATATAGCGTTAATATTTATAGAATGTAGTCTGAACTGTGACATTTTTTAGAAGGTTTTGTGCAGCAATCACAAACAAAAAACAAGAAAACCAATATGAAAAGTCAACTATTATAAAAATGTTTCAGTTCATTCAGTCTTATTAAAGTTATATTTAAAGTTTTTGTAAAAATGGTTGAATTATTCATACCCTACATACTAAAATT